TATATATATAGGGGATCCAAAAGACTCTACTAAAAGACTATTGGGACTCATAGAAGAGTTTGGTAAAGTAGCAGGATATATAGTCAATACACAAAAATCAACAGCCTTTATATACACAGACAATGCCAACTCTGAGATTGAATTTTTTTTTTTTTTATATTTAGTTATTTACTTGAAAGTCAGAGTTACACAGAGAGAAGGAGAGGCAGAGAGAGTGAGAAAGGTCTTCCATCTGCTGGTTCACTCCCCAGATGGTCCCAACAGCCAGAGCTGCACCAATCCAAAGCCAGGAGCCAGGAGCTTCTTCTGGGTCTCCCCATGGGTGCAGGGGCCCAGGGACTTGTGCCATCTTCTACCACTTTCCCAGGCTATAGCAGAAGACTGGATTGGAAGTGGAGCAGCTGGAACCCGAACCAGCACCCATATGAGATGGCAGCACTGCAGGCGGTGGCTTTACCTGCCTGGGAGATTGGGTTTCTAAGATCAATCCCATTCACATTAGCTACAAAAATCAAATACCTTGGAGTAAATTTAAACAAGGATGTCAAAGATCTCTATGATGAGAATTACAAAATCTTAAAGAAAGAAATAGAAGAAGATACAAAAAATGGAAAAATCTTCCACGTTCATGGATTGGAAGAATCAATATCATCAAAATGTCCATTCTTCCAAAAGCAATTTACAGACTCAGTGTGGTACCTATCTAAATATCAAAGACATTCTTCTCTGAGCTACAAAAAACAATGCTGAAATTCATATGGAGGCACAGGAGATCTTGAAGAGCTAAAACAATCTTATACCACAAAAACAAAGCTGGAGGCATCGCAATACCAGATTTCAAGACATACTGCAGGGCAGTTATAATCAAAACAGCCTGGTACTAGTACAAAAATAAATGGATATACCAATGGAACAATATAGAAACACCAGAAATCAATACAAACATCTACAACCAACTTATATCTGACCAAGGAGCTAAAACCAATCCCTAGAACAAGGACAGGCTCTTCAACAAATGGTTCTGGGAAAACTGGATTTCTTCCTGCAGAAGTATTAAGCAAGACCTCTACCTATCACCTTACACAAAAATCTATTCAACATGGATTAAAGTCATAAATCTATAACCTGACACCATCAAATTATTAGAGAACATTGGGGAAACCCTGCAAGACACTGGCACAGGCAAAGAGTTCTTAGAAAAGACCCCAGAGGCCGGCGCCACAGCTCACTAGGCTAATCCTCCGCCTTGCAGCGCCAGCCACTGGGTTCTAGTCCCGGTTGCCCCTCTTCCAGGCCAGCTCTCTGCTGTGGCCCGGGAGTGCAGTGGAGGATGGCCCAAGTCCTTGGGCCCTGAACCCCATGGGAGACCAGGATAAGTACCTGGCTCCTGCCATCGGATCAGCGCAGTGCGCCGGCCGCAGCACGCTGGCCGCGGCAGCCATTGGAGGGTGAACCAATGGCAAAAGGAAGACCTTTCTCTCTGTCTCTCTCTCTCACTGTCCACTCTGCCTGTCAAGAAAAAAAAAAAAAGAAAGAAAAGAAAAGACCCCAGAGGCACAGACAGCCAAAACCAAAATTAACAAATGGGATTACATCAAATTGAGAAGTTTCTGTTCAGCAAAAGAAACACTCAGGAAAGTGAAGAGGCAACTAACAGAATGGGGGAAATTATTTGCAAACTATGCAACTGATTTTACAGTCATTGATGGTGTCAAGAGGAAAATGTTTGGTCCCAGCTCACTGCCTATTTTAAATTAAATCATGTGGTATCAGCCACTACTGCTCAGCTTAGACACAGGGAACCTCAACCTTCTAGAACATGGTTCTTAGGGAGTTAGGCAAATGCAGGCTGAGTACTTGACATAAAGATGTTCAACTTCTGAATAAACTGTGATGTTTGGCACCAAAAAAAAAGTAACAGAGATTTCAAGATTAACAGTTGGAGTTTTTAAAAAGTAACAGAGATTTCAAGATTAACAGTTACAGTTTTTGATACCTCACTTTCAATATTGGATGGAACTAAACAGAAGATTAACAAGGCACTAAAAGACTTGCACATAATAAGAGAAACACTGAAAAGTTCACAAAGGTGGAATGTAAAAACACAATAATAATCAATGAAATAGAATAAATTCCAAAAGAAATTAGAAAATATTTTCAAATGTGTTACAAAAACATAGCATACAAAAACTTCTGGTGTACAGTGAAAACAGTTCTTAATGGGAAAACTCTAAGCACCTATTTTTAAAAACATGTAAGATCTCAAATCAATAGCAGAACTTTATACCTTAATAAGCTAGAACTAGAAGAAAAAACTAAATAGAATCAATAAAATAAACATTGAGCCAACTGATTTTCAACATGGTTTCAAAAATATTCATTAGAGAAATGGTGCTGGCAAAACTAGGCATACATGCATAGAAGAATGAAATTAGGTCCCTGTCACTGACCATATATAAAAATCAACTCAAGATGGATCAAATATATAAATATAAGACCTAAAACTACAAAATTGCCCAAGGAAAAATAAGGGAAATACTTCAAGACATTGGTGTAAGCATCCAACACAGAACTTCAGCAGAGGCAGGAGTTTAGCAATGTCTGCTAAGTGAGTTTTGAAAAGTTTCATTCTAAGACAACTAGATTGGATTATCAAACTGAAATTCTTTTTTAGAATTGAGTTAAGCAATTATTTTTAAAAACAAAAAGGACTCTTAACATCCATGAAATGAAAATCTTTAATAGTATCCTTTGGAAATCAAGCACAGAAAATATTAACACACCATTTTTCTTTAATCCAAAGTAATTTTCATGTTAAAAACTCAATATAGTTTGTAGACATAATCTAATGAAACATTTGTTTTAAATAATTGGATCTTTTAACAATTAACCACTTAATTTAAAAAGTAAAATCCCAATTAAGAGATGATAACATGCTAAACTCATTAAATGTTCTATTAGCTTAGAATCCAGTACTAAGCAGCATAGACCAGACTTTTCTCTCTGAATGTATGCAGTTTCATTTTAACTGAGGGTGATGAGATGGACAATAAACAAATGAGGAAATCTTGTGTCAAAGTGTTCATGGCTCTATAGGGATTTAAAATTTTAAATAACATGACTGGCCAATTTTACAATGGAGAGTCTGGGAAGTCCTGAGAAGGCAATATAGTAATGCGTCATCTAACGATGGGGACATGTAAAGAGAAATGCGCTGTTAGGCACTTCATTCTTGTACTAACAAAGACTATTTTTACACAAAGTAAGATGGCTATGACATCCCTAGACAACACAATATTATGGGACTAGCTTATCACTGACTGAAAACACAGCCATGCAGTATACGAGTGTATTCAAGCTGAAATCTGAGGATGAAAAAGGCGTTGACAGGGCAATAGTCAAGGGAGAGGGCATTCCAAGCAGAACGCCCTGGAGCAGAGTGTTGAGACAGATTGCTAGATGAGCTTAAAGAGCAGGCACAGGTAGGTCATGTAATTCCTTGTAAGCAAGCCTAAGAAGTGTGGATTTAAATTCCCAAGGAAGTCAACGGGAGGTTTTAAGTAGAACAACATGACAGAGTTTTATTTTCCTTCTATTTCTTTTCCAATATCACTTTGGAAACTATGGAGAATAGATTGGAGTGGGGTTGAAGTAGGCAGGCATACAGGGTAAAATTATTGATTAGATTTGGAAGACCACGCCTTCGCCACACCCCTGTGTGATCTCATGCCCTGATACCTTTGTCACGCCCCTGTGTGACCTCATTCCCCTACCTGGCCACCCCTGGGTGCCCACCAGCCAATCAGGTTAATTAACCACTCCCCTTTGGAAGTGGGTTAAAAGCCAGGACACGGTGTGGCCCAGCTCTGCTCTTCTTCCCTGACCTCTTGCCAGGAGGGGGCTTGCTGTAGCTCTGTGCCTCCAGGGTGCATGGCCTTTGGGCCATGTGCTCTAGGCTTCCTGACCTAGATGTTCATCCACGTGGCTGGTTCCTGGTGCTCAGTATGAACCCCTATTCACCTCTCTCTCTCATATAAGGCTCTCACTCTCCTATGCATCGTTCTCACAAAATAAAAACATAAAACGTACCATACTGCCTCATTTATCTGTGCCGGTATTTAAATTCTTTAAATATTAGGCAAGAACCCTCTCGGGCTTATTAATATTGGGGATTTATCAATAGGCTCATGGTGAAATCGTATGGCACCCCAAATTCTGGTAGCACATGTGGCACCCCAGATAGCATTGCTAGGGAACTTTAAGGGGCCACATTTTGGTGTAAATTTTAGGGGGTCATTTCCGATTTCAAGGTGTGTGTGGAGTTGTGAGACTGACTGGAAAGCAGGAAGTTGGGTCCAGAGGTGATTTGGCTCAGACTGAGATGGTGAGACTAAAGGGAAGGTTATTGAAGAGAACGGGAAATCAGTAGAGGCACCACGTGTATACAACTGTTTAAAAAAAAAAAAAATGTTTGGACTCGAGGTCAAGTTCTTGTCCCATTATTCCCTGCCAAAAAGACAGCGCCTGATTTGCTACAGAGGACTAGCCAACCCTTACAGCATACAATCTGAGCGCAACCGTAGGAATCCCCCAGACTCAAAGGAGTTCCCTTGACTCGGATGCGTCCCTTCAAAGACTGAAGCCGTCATTCATCAAGGCTGATATCACACTGACTCCACGTTTACCCCATCGCCATCAACGCCAGCACGTCCTTTTGCCGAATGAAACTTCTGCGATGCTCGGGGACCAGAACGGCCAGGGTGACGTCAGCACGCAGCGCAGGGCGGGAGAGCGAGTCGTCAGTGAGCCGCGGGCCCCGTGTGGTGTCTCCAGGTTTTGCGTGCGCGCGGCGGCGCTACTGTGGAAAGACGGGGCGTGACGTCACATTGTTGCGCCGGCCAGGGGCGGGACCAGGTGCCGCTCTTGCCTTCGTCGGGTCGCCCCTGCAGGTGCGACGGGAAGTCAGGGAGGCGTGGTGAAGTGCCTTCAGCCGCGCTTAGTCTTTACAACTCGGTGTAGCAAAGTATTCGCGTTTTAAGTGGAAGAACTAAAGACTCAGAGAGTAGAAGTAACTTCTGCTAGATTACACAGCAGAACTAAATTCTACGTAGTCTTATTATATTTTTATGAAAGGGATATAATTATATCTTAAAATATTTTAAAGGTTAAACAACGTGATGCATGTAAAACTTGTAAATGACACTAAAATTCTTCCATGCCCTTCTTAACCCTGTAAGTCTGTCCATCCACTCCAGCAAGGAGCAGTTCTGATTTCTGGCGGGATGCCCAGCACCTTGACACGAAAGAAAAACCGACTATCCTAAGCAAAAAGCCTGAAGCCAAAACAGATCCTTTCAAGCAACAGGTGAGGCCAAATGAAGGTGTCTAGGCTGCACCTCACCAAGCACACACATGGGCATACACCCAAAATTGCATTTTCTCTTTTTTTTTACGGGCATCCTTCCCACACTCATTCAGACTGAAACCTGTTACTAAACTGTTCTTTCTTGTCTTGATGCTGCCTCCATCTCCTCTTCTTTCCTAGACTTTTTTTTTTTTTAAGGTTTATTGATTTATTTGAAAGAGTTACACAGAGAGAGGAGAGGCAGAAACAGAGAAGTCTTTCATTCACTGGTTCACTCCTCATTTGACCACAACGGCCAGAGCTGGGCCGATATGGAGCCAGGAGCCAGGAGCTTCTTCCAGGTCTCCCACGCAGGTGCAGGAGCCCAAGGACTTGGGCCACCTTCTACTGCTTTCCCAGACCATAGCAGAGAGCTGGATGGGAAGTGGAGCAGCCGGAATTCAAACCAGCGCCCATATGGGATGCCAGCACTGCAGGTGGCTGCTTTACCCACTACTCCACAGCGCCGGCCCCTTTGCTAGACTAATTTCCCCTAGATACAGCCTCATCAAATGACCTCTTCAAATTGATTTCATTTGTTCGATTAATATTTATTGATGTTTAGTAATTGCTTAGTTAATCAAGCATTTCCAATTTTACCCCTTCCCTGCATATGCGAATTATACTTCCAGGCCCCAGTCAAGGAAATAGGAGTGTATGTGACCCACTGTGACACCACACACACATATACACACACACACATCCTTCTTTCAGACACAGCATTTAGTTGCCAGTTGAAGAAGCTCCAGAGCTCTTTCCTTCTTTCCTGCCTGGCCACAGGTAGCCTCTGAAACAGTAGCTGCAGCAGGCAGCATCTCTGCATGGTCAGGATGAAAAGCCACAGCACTGATACGTGAACAACGTGTACCATAGGAAAGATAAATTCCTTTAAGGCACAGAGACCTTGGGGGTTGTGGTTACCTTAGCACAAAGTGGCCTCTGTAGATGCCTACATTGCTGAGCAAAGCCAAATTTGGTTTCTTTCAGGAGCAATCCCCATAAAACATGAATCTGACCATGCCTTTACCTGCCTTAAAATTGTCAGTACCTTCCCACTCTTTGAAAGATAAAGTTTAAACTCATAGACCGGTATTCTAGGCTCTTTTCCACCTGGTCTCAAACTGTACCTCAGGTTCTATGCCCCGCCTCCATTCATTGTTTAGTCCAGCCAAACTGTCCTGCTGGCTATTTACTGTCTTAACTCATATGCTTTCCAGTCCCTTGGTAAACCTTCTACATCATACATTTAATCTGGGATGCCTTCTGCCTATATTTGCATGTTCTGCCTTACTACCCTGGGCATGTTAGATACCTCACGCCATCCTTTATAAATCTTAGCACACGTGTCACAATCTTAATTACATGCTTCAGTGATTATCTTCCTCCAGGGCTTCTTCCCCATTAGGTCAGGTATATACAATTTAAGGACTTAAATATTTATTAAATGAATAATAGCTCATTGGGATCCTTCAAGGTACATTAAAAATGCTATTAATTCCATGTATCAGTTTTCCATTGCTACAGTAACAAATTACCACAAAATAAATGTCTTCAAACAATACCAAATTATTACCATGAAGTTTTGTAGGTGATTACAGGGCAGCATTCTTTTTTGGAGGACATAAAAGAGAATCTATTTCCACAAAAGGTTGCTCACATTCCTTAGGTTTATGGTCCTCGTGTTCCATCTTCAAAGCCAGCAATGTGGCATCTCTCCAAGCAGCCTGCAAACCTCAGCATCCTTTCATAGTCACATCTCCTTCTAACTCCTAACTGTCAGAAAGTTTCTCTGATGTAAAGCACTCATGTGAAGCACTCATGTGATTAGATTGGACCTACGTGGAAAATCCAGGAAAAGCTAGTTAACGATGTTAAGATAGGGAGATTGTCCTGGATATTTTATCCAGGAGGAGGGGGGAAGGATTCTATCTACCAGATTCCAAATTCTTTCCTTGCTTCCCTGGCTAGCTTGGCATTTACCTACTCAACATCAGCCAAATGAAGACTTCTCTAAAAAGCAGCAGGAATCTCTCAGAAATAATGTATTAATCAGCTTTCCATTATTACAGTGAAATACATGAGAGATGCTAACTTTATAAGAAAAAAAGGTTTGTTTTGGCTCATGATTCTGGAGTTTGAAGCCCAAGATAAAATGGTCCCATTGGCTGGGTATTTAGCAAGGCTGGAGGAGAGCAATGGCAGAGCGTACACAGAGGAAGGATAACATGGTAAGGCAGGAAGCAGCGAGAGTGGGTGGGCTTGACCCGGCCTTTATAAGGAATCCCCTCATGAGAATTACTTCCTGAGGGCACACCTCCAAAGACCTCCCGCTGGGTCTTCACCCAGCACAACTGGATTAAGTTTGCAACTGCTTAGACTTCAGGGTTTAAGTATCTGTTCTGTTCAAGAGCCATATCCTATTCAACCCATGGTAGGTAACCATATAATTTATTGTTTAAATAGAGACATTTAATAATGAAAGGGAACACTATTACCATTTATACCAGGATTGACCAGAAGCAGCAAGATGAAATGAGTGTGTGTTCTGTGGCAAGCCTACCATGAGTTGGCTGCAACATGTGTGTTGTGCCATTCTTTAGCCAGGCCTCTTAGAGAGGGATCAAGGGGAAGATGCTGGAAGGCTTCACTTTTCTCTGAAAATCCATGCTTCAGGCTATAGATGAGATATGTGGTTCAAGAGACTAAGAAGAACCTTTTTCTTCCCTAGTTTAAGGATATATAAAAAATGAATTGTTTATGTTAGGAAATTAGACCTTTATGATACATATTGCAAATATTAACTTTCAGTTTGACATTTATCTTTTGATTTTGTTTGTGATGAAGCCTCTTTTAGCACATAGTTCCAACATGTCTTTGTAACCATATAAAAAAAGATTTTTAAAAATTCAAGTAAGGAAATTAGAGATCTACCTCTTAGACATGTAAGAGGTAATTTTCAGCTTTGGTGTGAAATAAAAACATATTAAAGTAAAGATCTCACAGCTTTTTCCATATCTGATCAAGGCTTTCCATTTCAAAGTCTGATATTTTTAGGAAATCACCTTGCATTCTTAATACATAAATAAATCTTGGGCCCAGAGGCAGTTATTAGTGTATATTTGTGAAAGTAGCTTTCCAGTTCTATTACATCCTCTGTATATATTTCTCTGCATAGAAGAGACTTCCTCTCTATCTCTAAATCTTTCTTTCCTTTCCCTTTTCTTGCTTTATTCTTAATGAATATCACTATAAACTTATTTTTGTTTGTTTTACTTACTATGCTGTAATCCATTACTGTCTGTATTCTTTTTTGATGCTTAAATTATCTCAGATTTAGCCAGTAGGACTCCCATTAAGCTGCTTCTTTAACCTTTTAAACTATCTCCATCAGTCTCTGAGTTTTTTCTTCTTCTCAGCATGGATATTTTAATCTCACCTTATACTTTACCCGTCCCAAAGTTCAACTACCATTTCTCCAAGGAACTCTGGTCTCTTTGAAGGGGCTATAATATTTAGAAACCAAGATTTGAGCTTGAGGTATATTCATTATTACTAGAAGTTACTACCTTTTAACCCTTTTAGTTTCTCTTGGACAAATTTCCTTTCTCATGATTTTGTTTGGTTAAACACTATTTCATTCTGGAAATACACCTCTTTTACAGTCAGTCTTCTATGGAAGAACATTTAGGTTCGTTCCAATATTTTGCCATTACAAATAATGAGACAATGAATAACTTGCATATGTGTTGCTTCAGGTCTATGGTTGTGTATCTTCAAAGAAAACTGACCCAAGAAAGAGTGTTAGATTAAAAGTAAATGCAAAGGTAACTTTGTTGGATTTTGCTAATTCTTCTCCATGAAGGTTGTCTTAGACCATTTTCTGTTGCTAATAACACAATACCATAGGTCAGGTAAGTTTTAAGAGATGGAGGGGCCGGCACTGTGGCATAGTAGGCTAATCCTCCACCTGTAGCACCGGCATCCCCTACAGTCTCCAGTTCTAGTCCCAGCTTCTCCTCTTCTGATCCAGCTCTTCTGTTATGGCCTGGGAAAGCAGTAGGAGATGGACCAAGCGCTTAGGCCCCTGAACCCGCGTGGGAGACCCAGAGGAAGTGCCTGGCTCCTGGCTTCAGATCCGCTCAGCGCTGGCCATTGCAGCCATTTGGGGAGTGAACCAGTGGATGGAAGACCTTTCTCTCTGTCTCTCCCTCTCACTGTCTGTAACTCTACCTCTCAAATAAATAAATAAAATCTTTAACAAAGAGAGGGAGAGTTATTTTTGCTCAAGGTTCTGGTCCAAAGTTGAAGGGACCACATCTGGTGATGGCCCACTTTCTGGCAGAGTTCCAAGGTATCACAGGGTGAGAGGGAGTATACAAGAGACCCAGCCAAACTGACCTGCTATTAAGATAACTCGTTAATCCATTCATGAAGGTAGAGTCCTAATTACCTCTTAAAGATCTTAAAGATCTCACTTAGTCACATATCTTAATATCTCAATAATGGGTATTAAATTTCAACATAAGTCAAATATGGGATAAACAATATTCAAATCATAGTAGGAGTCATACCACCAGGATTGTATGAAAGTATGCATTTTTCCACCGTCTCACCAATAGAATTAGAGTATATTATCAAACATACATTTTTACAAACAGGATAGGTACAAAATGTAATGTTGATTTGTGTTTCTCTAATGCAAGAAGAAGCTGAAACATTTTCATGTTAATTAGGTTGATTTAGGTAATCTACGCCATTTCAAAATATGGCATATTATATACAATATTTGCCACTTAAAAATCTCGGCTGGCGCCGTGGCTCAATAGGTTAATCCTCCATCTGTGGTGCCGGCACACCGGGTTATAGTCCCGGTAGGGGTGCTGGATTCTGTCCCAGTTGCTCCTCTTCCAGTCCAGCTCTCTGCTGTGGCCCAGGAGTGCAGTGGAGGATGGTTCAAGTGCTTGGGCCCTGCACCCGAATGGGAGACCAGGAGGAAGCACCTGGCTCCTGGCTTCGGATCAGTGCAGTGCACCGGCCACAGTGCACTGTCCGCAGCGGCTACTGGGGGGTGAACCAACGGAAAAAGGAAGACCTTTCTCTCAGTCTCTCTCTCTTTCACTGTCCACTCTGCCTGTCAAAAAAAAAAAATCTCAAAAGACTTTATACTGAATATATATAATATTGGAGAAAAAATAAGGACTGAGAAAATGAAGCAAAATGCTAATTTTTCCCTACTTCCCAAATTTTATAATAGATTTTTGAAAATTTGTATTTATTTCAGAGGCAGAAAGTCAGACTGAAAGAGACAGATAGAAGTAATTCCCATTTACTGGTTCATTCCCCAAATGCCTGTCACAACTGGGACAGGGCCAGGCCAAAGCCAGGAGCTAGGACTCAATCTGGGTCCCACATTTGTGGCAGGAAGAAAAGTACTTGAACCACCATCACTACCTCCCTGAGTCTGCACTAGCAGGAAGCTGGAGACAACAGCAGAGCCAGTTGTCTCTGACGCAAAAGTCCTAACTGGCACCTTAACCACTAGGCCAAACATCCATTTCAGTTTTATGATATATTTCTGATGAAAAGCTAACTTTTATTATATATCCATTCTCTACTTTGGAAGTGTTCTTACACTCAGATACAGAGATAAAGCTTTTGATAACTTGAAGTAGGTCATGGCTTAAGAGAGAATTAAGCCTTTGCTCAGAGGTATAGTATAGAATTCTCACCAAACAACTGCAAGTAGGAGAGCATGATTATAGGCAAAGACCACAGAAAATGCTTTTCACAATTTTCAGTAGCCGCATGGCTTTGAGTCTCGGAGCTCTTCTCTGTAAATGGGGATGACACAGCACTGTCCCACAAAGTTAATGTTAAGATTAAATGCAAAGATAACATATATATGCTTACACACTAGAACCTGGCCTTCAGTGAATTCTAACACAAGTCAGCTGTTTCAGTTTTTGAGCTTTGTTTTTTCTTAAATTATTAAAACTTGGTTTCAGTGCCCCCATGTGTCCAAACATTGTAATGCTTATGGTCTTTAGCCTTTGAAATGACAGTTCTTGCAGCACTGTCATTGTGCACTTGTTTCATATAGGCTATGAAGATTAGAAAGCTCTTTTAAAAACTGGTTTTTATCCGTGAATATAAAAACATATGCTCACTGCACACAATCTGGAAAACACTGAGAACTGAATGGAATCCTAGTCGTTATAATGCAACCATACTTTTTTTCTGGGGGGGGGGGGGAGGCATTGCTAGAGAGAGAGAGGGAGGAAGGGAGAGATATACGGATCGTTCATCCTGTGGTTTACTCTCCAAATGACCACAACAATCAGGGCTGGGCCAGGCGGAAGCCAGGTGCTTCCTCTGGGCCTCCTACTTGAATGCAGAGGTCCCACCACTTGGGCCGTCTTCTGCTGCTTTCCCAGGCCATTAGCAGGAAGCTGAATCAGATATGGAACAGCCAGGACACGGTTCCCCGCTCATATGGGAAACCTGAGTGGCCACAACACCAGCTCCAAAAACATTTAGTATATTTTATATTTTCTATGTATGTTTACATTTATATGTATATAGATATGTGAGTTTTACAAAGTGGAGTCTGTGGATCTTTTACACAAGATTAAATGTCAGATTAAATGTACAATGTACTTTTTGCTTTAAAACTAGAGTCTTGAGGTGGGTGTTTAGCCTAGATGTTAAGACACCAGTAAGATTCCTGCATCCCATGTCAGTATACTTGAGTTTGGACCATGGCTCTGGATCCAAATTTCAGCTTCCTGCTAAAGCACAACCCGAGAGGTGGCAGTAATGGCTCAAGAGATTGCGTTCCTGCCACCTCGTGGGAGAGCTGGACTGAGTTCCTGGATCCATCTTTGGCGCCCAGCCCAGTCCCACCATTGTGGACATTCAGGAAGTGAATGCCCTTGGACAGAAGTGCTCATGATGGCTCCCTCTCCCGCCCTCTCTTCCTCTCAAGTTAACAAATAGCTTTTAAAAGAAAACAAGCAGCAGCGCACTTCAAGACCTGCTGATCTGTCTCTAGCTCCAACTGTGTTTTGAGCAGGTCCAGGGGCTCTATCTCCTTCGGCTTCTGACTTCTGGATTTTGACTGTCCGCTGATTGCGTCTCCAGCTGCAACTTCCGGGACCACTTCTCCGCCATCTTTTGCTTCTGGGAGCAGAGAACGCACGTTTGTGGTCATCTTGTTGCAGACCAACGATGACTTCCCTGATTCGTCAGAATTATTCCACGGAGGTGGAGGCTGCCGTCAACCGCCTTGTCAGTTTGCACCTGCGGGCCTCCCATACCTACCTCTCTCTGGGCTCCTACTTCCACCGCGACGGTGTGGCTCTGGAGAGCTTGGGCCACTTCTTCCGCATGTTGGCTGAGGGGAAACGCCAGGGCGCCAAGCGTCTCCTCAAGATGCAAAATCAGCGCGGCGGTCACGCCCTCTTCCCAGAAGTGGAGAAACCATCGCATGATGACTGGGGTGATCCCTTAAACGCCATGGAAGCTGCCCTGGCCCTAGAGAAGAACCTGCACGAGGCCCTGTTGGATCTGCAAGCCTTGGGTTCTGCCCACACAGACCATCATCTCCGTTACTTCCTGGAGAACCACTTCCTGGATGAGGAGGTGAAACTCCTGGAGAAGATGGGCAATCACCTGACAGACCTCCGCAGGTTGGTAGGCCCCCAGGCAGGGCTGGACGAGTATCTCTTTGAAAGGCTCACAAAGTGGGATTAGGAGCCTCCAGAGCCCAGCGGTCTCTGGGGGCTCTCTGGATCTTGCTAATCAGAGCCTCTCTCCAGCCACTAGGCAGCTTGTCGACAACCTTGGAGTCCTCTCCCAAGCCATGGACCAAATGGAAATAAAGCTTTTGACTGAAAAGAAAAAGAAAATAAGAGTGGAAATAAAACTAAGTGACTAATACGGGTTATCTAATGGTAAACTGAAGATGGTATCTTGACACTAAATCTCTCATGCTCCCTACTAATAGGCAACTAAAGTATATACATTGAACTCCAATGGAACAATGCTTTAAAGTGAAAGAAAATTAAACTCTTAGAAATATAATGCCACGGTATGTATCACTTAAGGAGGAATGGGTGAGAATCAGTTTGTTGTACTAAAGAGACTTTCATGTTCCTAAATAACAGCTATTTCTTCTTTGTGTACAAAAGTGGACTTTTGGATTAAAAAGAGGGGAAAATAAGAGTATAATTATGTGTTTTCTTATTTTTTGCAAAGGAATAATACAACTATTGGATGTGGTTATAGTGGGACTAGGTGGAATGGCTTGGGATGTGTGAGACTGCTCTGAATATTTTTTTTAATTTAGTTTTCACTTTTGAAAATGTAAGTTCAAAAATTAAAATAAATATTAAAAAGGTAGTAAGAAGTTCTTAAAATACCAACAGAAAAAAAAAAAAACTGAAACTGACAGCATATTTAGAAACTTAATCACAAAAATCAATTCAAGTAACTTTATAACACAACACTCTAAGTCAGAGCAGGAAAAACTCAAAGGAAATTGTGAACTTTCCTGAATGGTTTTATTAGAGATTGTGGTATTGGTCTAGGGATTCTGAAAATATGTTATTGTGTAATAGGATGGGACAGGTGATTACTGGTGCTTTGTGGATCCAGGGTTCTTGGTAGAAGAGGGATGCAAAGAAGGAACAGGGTGGGTGGGTAAGAAAAAACTATGACGTGGATTCATCTGGAGGTGTCAGTATTACTTTTATTTTATTTTATTATTTTTTTTGACAGGCAGAGTGGACAGTGAGAGAGAGAGAGACAGAGAGAAAGGTCTTCCTTTTGCCATTGGTTCACCTTCCAGTGGCCGCTGCAGTCAGCGCACTGCGGCCAGCGCACCGCACTGATCCGATGGCAGGAGCCAGGTACTTATCCTGGTCTCCCATGGGGTGCAGGGCCCAAGCACTTGGGCCATCCTCCACTGCACTCCCTGGCCACAGCAGAGAGCTGGCCTGGAAGAGGGGCAACCGGGACAGAATCCGGCACCCCGACTGGGACTAGAGCCCGGTGTGCCGGCGCCGCAAGGTAGAGGATTAGCCTAGTGAGCCGCGGCACCGGCCATGTCAGTATTACTTTTAAATATACATATTTAAAGTAATAATACAGAATCCTTTAGGGATAAACATATTTTAAATATATATGTATTTCCTTGCTTTTTCTACTCCACTCCTACATTTCCCATAAGCAGTGACACCTTAATAACAGCACAGTTAGCATTCATTATTTAAATTCAAAAATACCATTCCTCAAAGGAATTGGGGATCCTCGAATAAAAGGCTAATTCCAGGTGTGAGGCAGTTTAAGGAAAGATCAAACCTAGAAAATACTCTGTGTTCCCTGAAACACTGAAGTACTCAAAGACTAAGAAAGCCTTACATTGTAAAAGGACATAGTAGCTGGCTTGAAGGAACTTTGGGAAAATTTGGGACAATTTGATTATCAAAAATACAATGACAGAAACAGCTCATAGTGGGCTTGGTTACAACACAGATTTCTGAATATACACCTCAAGGCCTGCCCTGAGATTCTGATTCATCATTCTGGGCTAAGACTGAGGATTTTCACTTCTGAGCAGATTAACAGGTGATGCTGGTGATGTTGCTCCAAGAAGCAAAGGTAAGCAGCACTGTGTGATCAAACTTTTAATTTAAAAAGTATCCATGAGGCCGGCGCCGCAGCTCAATAGGCTAATCCTCTGCCTGCGGCGCCGGCACACCGGGTTCCAGTCCCAGTTGGGGCGCCTGATTCTTTCCAGATTACTCCTCTTCCAGTCCAGCTTTCTGCTGTGGCTCGGGGGGTGCAGTGGAGGATGGCCCAAGTGCTTGGGCCCTGCACCCGCATGGGAGACCAGGAGGAAACACCTGGCTCCTGCCTTCGGATCAGCGCGGTGCGCTGGCTGCAGCGGCCATTGGGGGTTGAACCAACGGAAAAGGAAGACCTTTCTCTCTCTCTCTCTCTCTCTCTCTCTCTCTCACTGTCTACTCTGCCTGTCAAAAAAAAAAAAAAGTATCCATGAGACAGTAATGATGAGAGGCATAGACAGAGAAAGAATCAAAAATAGAAAAAGCTCAAATATGGCAACATACTTGAAATGATCATAAGGAATTTAAGTGAAATGTACATCTGGGTTAATTTTACTACACTTTGAATTTTTATGAAGGTTTGGAAATTCTCAAAAAAATGTTGAAGAAAAATTAAATGTCCTGTTTCCTGCCTGTTCTCAGAGAAGTCAAATGAGGGTACTATAAGGGGTGTAAAGAGACAGGTAAGAAGTAATTTAGGAGGAAGAAAACACTGAAAAAAGACATGGGCTTAGGTACACAGGGAGGAGCAAGGGGCTTCATTCTAGCTTAGTAGAGTGATTCAGCAGTGGGGGCTGTGATAACTTCCACATCTCTGTGGTTTAACACAACAGAAGTTCGTTTGTTGTTCTATTTGAGAAAACTGACTCAGAGGCAGTAAGTTCAAAGCCCAAACAAGAAAGAATTCCCACTCAGTTTTGGTCCCAAAGCCCGTTTTCATTCTGCTATAGCACATTGAGGGGAGGGACTTGGCCAGGGCATCCTATTTACTTATTTATTTTTTAAGTTTTATTTTTTTTGAAAAGCAAAGGGTCAGAGAGAAAGAGAGAGATGTTGCATCTGCTGGTTCACTCCCCCAGATACCCTCAACAGTCTGGGGTAGGCCTGGCCAAAGTCAGGAGCGAAGAACTCTATAATAAAGTCTCCCATGTGGTTGCTGTCCATTCCATGGTAGTATATAGTTTCAATAAAAATTTGTCTTGTTAACAGATAAATGGCAATATACGACTGCGTAGTGTTTGGAATTTTTTGTTAAACAAGGAGGTTTTGGGGGCTCGTGTTTATGTAGGCAGGCAGATAGGATAAAATTGATTAGGTTTGTGAGCTGGAAGACCACACCTTCACCACACCCCTGTGGGACCTCATCCCCCCTACCTGACCCCACCTGTATGTCCATCTGCCAATCAGGCTATATAACCACTCCCCTTTGGAAGTGGATTAAAGTGGGCCTGGCCCTTTTTTTTTCTTCCTCACCCTTTTTCACCATTACAGACCTTTGTTGCCTGCTCTGCCTTTGCTTCCCTGCCTGTGATAAGCTGTTAGCAATAGCTGCTCTTAACCAAAGGCCTGCTGCACATGGCTCTCGACCTGCTCTCTGCTCGGTATGGCCCCAACTTAATCTCCAGACTTTCCCTTCTCCCCTAAGGCCTTCACTCTCCCATGTATTTCTCTCACTAAATAAAAAGCTTAAAAACTTCCCATCCTGCCTGGTTTATTTGAGCCAGTATTCAGAATTCTTCTCTGAATTCATGGTAAGAGCCCACACAGCTTATTAATTTCAGAATATTAATAAGCAAATCGGTATCAATGTTCCATACACAAGAAGTTACTCTATGAGGTGATAAATATGTCAAGTTGCTTCACTACAATAACCATTTTACTGTCTGTATGTAGTTCATAACATGTTGTAAACCTCAAATTTACACAAGATTTGCTTTAAAAAAAGAAAATATGTACATGAAGGAATGTACAAAAATTAAATTTATGAAAATAATAAATAGCAAAGTATGAATATCCATGGCCTCTTTCCTGTCACCTGCCAAGGAACACTCATATTTTCTGTTTTCTACCTGGTCTGTTTACCTTCTCTCAATTTGGGGCTTTGTTAGTAGATCAGGGTAAAGAGCATACAAGTTGCTCTGTGTGTGTGTGTGTGTGTGTGTGTGTACGCGCGCGCGCGTGCGCACCTGCATGTGTTTAAGGATAGAGAGTAACATGCTGCGGAGAGCTGGAGGGAAATGACAGAGAAAGCAAATACTGGTGAAATTAACATCAAAAAGAGAATAAGTAACTGATGCAAGAAAACAGATTGGATGCCAGGGAGAAAAGGGGGAAAAGAATGAGAGTGCACAAGTTTGTGGGAGAACATTAGCAGAGATTGTAGAGTAGCTCGTAGTACGGGGAGAGACACTGAAATGACAGGAAAGGTCTACTTTAGAAGTTTCCTAGGTGGGAGGCTGGGAAGAATCACTATATCCTAAAGTTGTATTTATAAAATGCAAAAAAAAGGTTTCTGGGAAAAAAAATCACAAAATCCAGGAGCTGGCGCGGTGACATAGTAGACTAAGCTTCCACCTGCGGTGCCAGCATCCCATATAGGTGCTGGTTTGTGTACCAGCTGCTCCTCTTCTGATCCAGCTGTCTGCTATGGTCTGGGAAATCAGTAGAAGATGGTCCAAGTACTTAGGCACCTGCACCCACACAGGAGACCTGGATGAAGTGCCCGGTTTCGGATCTGCCCGGCTCTGGCCATTGTGGCCATTTGGGAAGTGAACCAGCAGATAGAACATTCTCACTGTCTCTCCTTTTCTCTGTCTGTAACTACCTCTCAAATAAATATATAAAACCTTAAAAAAATGAAGTTTTGCTCTACAATAAGAATGTTACCTGCCCTTGGAGCCAGCATTGTAGCATAGGAGGGAAAGCCACTGCCTATGATGCAGGTATCTCATATGGATGCCAGTTCATGTTTCAGCTGCTCCACTTCTGATCCAGCTCCCTGCTAATGGCCTGGGAAAGTAGTGAATGATTGAGGGAGACTGGATGAAGCTCCTGGCTCCTTTTTCCTTGGCCCAGCACTGGCTGTTGTGGTCATCTAGAAAGTGAACCAACAACAGATGGTCTCTCCCTCTCTCTGTAACTCCTTCAAAGCAAAAAGCAAATACACCTTTATATATATATATGTATATGCATATATATATGTGTGTGTGTGTGTGTATGTGTGTGTGTGTGTGTGCGTGTATAATGTATATTTCTGCCCTCTGCAATCATCCAGGGACTCTCTGAAGTGAAAAATCTGAACTGCTTTAGCTATTTTTCCCAGCTGTTTTCTTTGGATTTTATATCATGTTAAGACTGGACCATTTGATCTGTGATAACTAACAGAGTACCTAAAAGGAAATCTGTAGAAGTGAAATTGACACTTTGAGAAGCAATGACTTGTCAGCCCTGTTGAGAAAAAGTTTTCTTAAATCTTCTTAATACTATTTGTTGAAGTCTTTTCTTAACATAGTTAATCATATATGTATAAAGTCAATTGAAAATAGATAAAATGAAAATAGTAAAAAATAAGAGTGGGAATAAGAGAGGGAGAAGGAAGTTTGTAACTGTAAAACTGTATAGTTCTGCATACATTCCTATGGACTTCTTTTTTTAAAAAAAAAAGATTTCATAAATTTATTTTAGAGGTACAGTTACAGACAGTGAGAGGGAGAAAAGTCTTCTGTCCATTGGTTCACTCCCCAAATGGCCACAACAGCCAGAGCTGTGCCGATCCAAAGCCAGGATCCAGGTGCTTCTTCCCAGTCTCCCATATGGGTGCAGGGGTCCAAGGACTTGGGCCATCTTCTACTGCTTTCCCAGGCCATAGCAGAGAGCTGGATGGGAAGAGGACGCCCATATGGGATGCTGGCGCGCAGGCGGAGGATTAACCTACTGCACTACAGTCCGGACCCCGGACTTACTTCTAAAGGTACAATTTTAAAACTTGCCATGGGACCCCCAAATCCCATTAAACCTGATGTAAAAATGCCATTCTAAGTGTTAAAGTGATCGTATTAAGTGTTAAAGTGATCATATAAATAGGATTAAGTGTTAAAGGGATCATATAAATAATAGCAAGTGTCTGGTAATAATAGAATTAAAAAGGAGAGAATATTCCAACATGAAAAGCAGTCCACACAGCAGATTCATAGAATGACAATCGCTCTAAATAGCACTCTGACATCAGAATTAGCCATTAAGGCATCTGGTCTGGCTGAAAAGCCCATGAGAGCATTTTAGGCATGGAAAGCGAAGACACTGTGGCAAAAAATATTCTGCCTGAAGGAGCTCTGTGAGTGAGACTCCACTGGAAAGAAGTAGCCATAAAAGAAGGATATACTTTTCTCTGAAGGTAGGAGAGAACTTCCATTTTGCATATGGCCTTGTCTAAATACTGAAGGAGAGTGTGAATTCAAAAGGTTTCCATAACCTTGGCAGCTCATGTCAAGAGCCTCGGATGATCACTGATGCCATACATTAGTGTTAATTGTTAAATTAACAACAGGAGTCACTGTGCACTTACTTCCCGTGCAGGACTTCTGTCCTCAATGAGTTGTATTATGAAAACTTGTATGTAAAACTTGTATGTAAACTTGTATGTAAAACTTGTTCTCAAATAGTTGTGTGTGTGTGTGTGTGTGTGTGAAAATTATTGAAATCTTTACTTAGTAAAAAGTTGGTCTTCTGTGTATAAAGTTAATTGAAAATGAATCTTAGGCCGGCGCTACAGCTCACTAGGCTAATCCTCCGCCTTGTGGTGCCGGCACACCAAGTTCTAGTCCCGGTCAGGGCGCTGGATTCTTTCCTGGTTGCCCCTCTTCCAGGCCAGCTCTCTGCTGTGGCCCAGGAAGGCAGTGGAGGATGGCCCAAGTGCTTGGGCCCTGTACCCCACGGGAGACCAGGAGAAGCACCTGGCTCCTGCCATCAGATCAGCGCGGTGCGCCGGCCTCAGCGCACCGGCTGCGGTGGCCATTGGAGGGTGAACCAACAGCAAAAGGAAGACCTTTCTCTCTGTTTCTCTCACTGTCCACTCTGCCTGTCAAAAAAAAAAAAAAAAAAAGGAAAGGAAAGAAAAAATGAATCTTAATGGAGAATGGGATTGGGAATGGGAGGAAGGAGGAGATGGGATGGGAGTGGGAGCGTGAGGGCCAGTATAGTGGGAAAAATCACTATATTCCTAAAGTTGTACTTATGAAATCCATACTCATTAAATAAAAAGTTTCTTTTGGGGGCAGAAGGAGACTAGACCACAAAGGCCTTGAAAATTTGGATTTACCAAAACACATAGGAACACCAGGAGACATTTTCTATGGAAGTTCGTGACCCCTAATTCTGAGATTACTAGGTAGATTCAATTTTTAAAATACAGAAGTTGTAAGGGAAGATGTGTATTTGAGGTTTTAATCATCTTGGTGAAATTTAGGAAAAACTCTGCTCCGAAGCTTTTCACTCTGTAACTCTCGCAGATCTTCCTGACGTCAGCATCAGCTCCACTCGAAGGTTTTTCTACATGCTTCTTACATCACGATTTGTACTTCATTTATTCTGCCTGGCTTATTTGTTTCTAAGAATGTTTTTATTGTAAGGGTAATATATGTTTGCCTGGGCTTATTTTTCTTATGTTGTAAGCTCACTGAAGACAGAGACCATACTATACCTTATTGTAAAATAGTATCATGGCAATTCAGACACACCTGAATTTGCATCTTAGCTGTGCTGCTCCTCAGTTAAAATGCCAAGCAGTTTTGTGTGGTTGTGGTTGTTTAACCTTGTTTAGTTTCAGAACTCTCATCTGTAAAACTGAAATAGTAATAACTATGAGGCTTCTTCAAAAAGTTCCTGGAAAAATAGAATTAAAAGATAGGTTCACTTTGGTGCAAAATATTTGGGAACCCATGCATACAAGGGGTCTTCAAGAAGTTCACGGAAAATACATATTCTGAAAAAACTAGCCACGGATTTCCAAAATTTTACACCAAAATCAACCTATCTTTTAATTCCATTTTTCCACAAACTACCCAAAATTTCCCCATACCTTTCTCAGGGTAGTTGTGAACATTTAATGAGAAGATATGTGAAAGTGCTTAGCACAATACCCGGCAAACACAAGTATTCAACCCATGATAACTATTATTATGTGTATGTCTGTTTTATTAGTTGAATCATTATTCATGTAGCACTGAAGGAAGTGCTCAAATCTTTGCTAAAAAAAAAAAAAAAAGTATGGCTGAGATGAGAGAAGAAAACCATGAAAGAAATCCAGGAGCTGGCACCTTTGGTTAAGTGTACTTTTATTTTCCTGTGTGACCTTAACATTTGGGGTTGTGGGGGCTGCTATGAGGTCTGAGGCTTGCTTCTAGCTCAAATGAGCCTTGCTAGAGGTGGGGTAGCAGGGAAGAGTGTTCACTGTTAGTTCTTGTGCCCCTCTGGGGGTCCTGAGCCTCTTAGGGGAATTCCAGTTCACTCTCCAGTTCCTCTGCCCACTTCCCCTCTCCTTGTCACACAGCCATCTAGAGAGATTCCTAGCAATGGGAACTTCCAGTGACTAACCAGCACCTTCATGGGGTCCCTGAGAGTTAGGGAGTTAGGGTTCCTCTTAGACACCCTGGGAGTTAGGGACCCCTTAAACGCCATCTCCTGCCTGAAGCATTCCCTGTTCTTCCAGGTCAAAACAGTCTCTCCTGCAATAGTCTGAAGCACTTACTGTCCTACTCTAGCCCTAGCTTTACGTTGTTTCCTCCTGTGAACTGCAAGTTCTCAGGGAGCAAAGTCTGGGTCTGCTTCCTGTTTGGTCAGTACAATGAGCTGTGCAGAGGTGCCCACATAAGACTATTACATTGAATTGCACTGAAGCAGGTCTTGGGGCTGCTGAGCCCTAGAACTAGATCTTACCCTAAGTTGCTAACCTGCTCCCCAGAGTTTTAAGTTAGACATTTGTGCTCTCTATGACAGTTTGTTGTTCAAGACACATTGGACAAAGTTCCCAGTAATAGATTTCAAACAGCTATCAGGAATCCAGAAGAAAAGCTTAATTTAGGTAATAAATATTTACAAAATTTTAACATCAAACTTGTTTCTTTCCATAATTTAAAGTTCATTTTTCACACCACTTGGTTATTACATAGAAGCATGGTGGCATTTCAATGCTTGTAACAGCTGTAAATAACTGGAAATAATTATGTCTCTGTTTGTTGACAGCTACCTTAAGCTTTGTTACTAGTAGTCACAATAAAGCAAGATTTAGTTTCATTGCAAATATGACTATTCTGAATCATCCATCGTGTTCAAATTTTGCAGATTATAAATTTTTCATTCTCCAGGATCATTATCACACAGTTAGCAAAGGTTCCTGGCTAAAAACAAATATTTTTTATATATAATTCTTAGTTGAACTGAACTTAAATGAAATAACATCTCAGGAAAAGTTGGCCAATTCAATAACTTGTTTGTCCCACTTGACATGGGAAAAAAAATTACCGTTTCAATTTCCTCAGTCTCTTTGGAGGCTTGGACCTTTTCATAGTCTCATTTCTGCTTGAAGAATGCTAATGTGTCTCCTCCTGATTTCATGTGGCTTTTCACGAATCCGGCTAATTTCCTGAATCCCTCCGCCAGCCCGTCCCCGGTGACGGCACAGCAGGGTTGAACATACCAGTTCCGGTCACTGCAGAGCTTCTTCACTTTAAACATTCTGGTAATGTCCTCGGCGCTCAGAGCTCCGGGCACGTCTTGTTTGTTGGCTAATAGGACAACCGGCACGTGTTGAATGTGTTCGTTCTTCAAAATGTGTTCAAACTCTTTGCGGGACTTCTCCAGGCGCTGTTTGTCAGAACTGTCCACGACATACACCAGCCCGTCAGTGTTCTCACAGTAGTAGCTCCAGACAGTTCTCATCTTTTCCTGTCCTCCGACGTCCCAAACTGTGAGCGAGAGACTCTTCTCAAACTCGAGCATCTCCACATTGAAGCCTATCGTTGGGATGGTGGCAATATCCTTATCAAGCTTTAGTTTGTAAAGGAGAGTCGACTTCCCAGCCGAATCAAGTCCCAGGAGCAGAATTTGGGCTTGCTTGGCCCTCGGGTTTTTGGAACTCAGCAGACCCATTTTGGGCTTTTGCTTTCTTTAAAGAACTTTTTCTTTTGGTGCGAGACAATATGTTGTTTCTGAGTCTCACGTGAGGCAAGAAGAAAGCGAATGCTTCATGCTATATTCCAGGAACAGGATCCTGTCCATATTTATATTGTGGCTTATCAACTTGATTGTAGGCAAACAGAATTTTATTTGTAGTGCTAGCCAATCCCGAGGAATCCGTGGTGTGAGTAACCAGCCAATGTCATAGTGGCTCAAAGGGGAAATTCTTTGTGAGTGAGTGTGGTAGGGCGTGGCCTGCCCAGGTGATGCTGCGGTTTTGTTCCTTGGCAGGTGCTAGGAATCAGGAGGAAATTGAAGGTTCAGACAACATGCACATCAACAAGACTTGGCAGCAGAATGAAACTTAACTTTTTGTTTTAACTGAACTTTTAACTTTAAGTTTTCTCTTGAACTTTTTGTAGAACCTCTCTAGTTGGTCAGCTATCTTATCCTAATCGTAAATAAGTAACCAGGCTTCTTCTATCATGAAGAAAGTGTTTATCTCCACTCCCTCCTTAGTATCTTAAGTACTTTCCCTTTGTCCAGATTACTCAGTAGGGAACTTTAAACAAGCCAAGGGTATGGTATCTGAACCTGACTCCCGCAATCAGATTATTTTGTCTTTAATCTTCTAGGTGGAGAATTTGCAGTATCCACAACACCAACTTTTCAGGGAGGCATTTGTATTACAACACTTTTAAAGCAAGTAGTCTGGTTAAAGATCGCAAATTGGATACAAATAATTGACTCCTTCTTAAGACCCCATCAAAATAATGATAGGAGACTAAAAAGAACACATGGGGGCCGGCACTGTTGCGTAGAGGGTAAAGCCACCACTTACAGTAATGGCATCCCATATGGGTAGCAGTTCAAGTCCCAGCGGCTCCACTTCTGATCCAGTTCTCTGCTATGGCCTGGGAAAGCAGTAGAAGATGGCCCAAGTCCTTGGGCCCCTGCACCCACGTGGGAGACCCAGAAGAAGCTCCTGGCTCCTGGCTTCGGATGGGCGCAGCTCTGCAGCTTCGGCTGTTGCGGCCTCCTGGGGAGTGAACCAGCGGATAGAAGACTCTCTCTGCCTCTCCTCTCTCTATAACTCTGACTTTGAAGTAAAATAAATAAATCTTTTTAAAAAATAAAAGGAACATAAATTCTTAAGAAGATGAGTAAGGGAGTCCATCAGTGAGATTTTAACAGGCTGGAAAATGGAAGATGATATAGTAGGAGGATATGAGACTGGGGTGCTGGCACATAGGAGATAGACAGGAGAAGTCAGGAACAGTAAAGAGATGGGAGAAATAAGGGACTAAACAGAGAGGTGTAACGAAAAGTCTACATAAGGAACAGCACGCACACACACACACACGCACACACACACGCACTATTCTCTATGAGGTGGTTAAACACCAGGCAAAAAACTGAAGGTTTTTTGTTTTTGTTTTAAATGAATGATCCCAGATAAAAAGACTGCCATGTTTTGAAAGTTGGGAGTTTCCGTAGTAGAACGCCTAACTCAACATTCAATTAAACTGTAGCCAACTTGGTAGTTAGCAACCCTTACATGTATTCAGAGTTCCCAACTGAGTTTTCAGTGCACATAAGTTACTTAATACAGAGCTCACCGCACCTTCGATATGAATGACAGCCATCTGAGGCCAAGGTAAAAATAAGAATGCCTTAAGAAAGCATACACAGAGGTAATGCAGAGAATAGGAGAACTTTTCATCAAGTCCTAATTAAGAATTTTGTAGAGGTTTCAGGAGCCATTACCTCCACATAACAAGAAATACAAGCTATTAAAAAGACAACTCAGTTCAGTGGCTGGCAGCAGCTTGGGGAGCCAGGTGGGCCACAAGCATAGTCTTATGCCTTCATAGTCTTATGAAGAGAAAAAAATGACAACCCAACGGGGAGTGGCTGCAACTTTCCTCTATACTGAAACAAGACTCATTTTAATCTTCCTACTCACAGTTGACAAAGGATTTTGTTTTCACTTGATGTCTCCAGTAAAATTGCAGCTTTCTTACAATCCTATTGATTCTCCTATTCCTAGTGCTGTGAGAGAAGTAAGGTAGTACTCCTGCTCAGGCCATTGGGAAGGGCTCAGCCACCAGACCTGGTGGCTGTGAACATACACTGATAAAAAGTTTGAAGTCTCAAAGAAATCTTTACATTTCTAGATTTTCATTATTTTGGGGGCTAGTATTAAGACTTCTGGTTACACTTATTACTGAGCTGGCAAAAAAAAAAAAAACTGTCAAACAAAGGAGTACTTCAAAGTCATGCAGAAAATACAAGATTGCCAAAAAATTCATGGAAGAGAATAAGAAACTACAATGGATATTGAAAAGCCATGGCAATGATGATGAAAACATTTTGGAAGCAGAAAATAAAAACTAGTAGAAGACCAGAGAAAAAAACTTAAAATTGAATTAAAGAAGACTTCAGAGGGTAGTTTTTTATGTGCTTGTGAAAAACTGGAAAGACTAGCATGATATTTTGTGCTGTTACATTTCACTATTTCCCCTAAAACAAAGCCAATATTTAAATATCTTTCTGGCCAAAATACCAAGAATGATCTATTTATAAATTCCTGCTCAAATATGAAAATAAAACATTGTTTCAACCAAAAACATGTTCTGTTACACAGAAAAGCATGTAGGTATTTCAGATCTGTGTTGTAAATACAATTCTGTCCCTGCCTTAAGCAGAAGAACTATTCCTAAAAAGTTACTTATAAACATACTTTTGTAAAATGAATCACATTTTTCCTCACATATTGCTTGTCTCAGAGAAGCAATTGCAAGGGGACACTTTTGGTTGTGAAAAAATATATTACTGTGGTGGACACTGTAGCACAGTGGATTACACTGCTGCTTGGGGCACCACATCCAGTTTAAGTCCTGGCTCCTCCACTTCCAATCCAGCTTCCTGCTGATGGGCCTCAGAAGGCAGTGGATGTTAGCCACCATGCTTGGGTTCCTGCAACCCATGTGGGAGACCTGCATGGAGTTTCTGGCTCCTGGCTTTGGTCTGACCCAGCTCTGGCTGTTGTGGGCATTTGGGGAGTGAATCAGTGGATAGAAGATCTATCTCTTTTTCTGCATCTCTCCCTCTCTGTCACTCTGCCTTCCCAATAAAAACAAATAAAATAGTTTTGAATGAGAAAAAAGACTGATCAGAAAGCAAAAACAGAACTCCTACAAATTAAAAATATGAATTCCAAAAATTTTAAAGATTGATAATAAGTTATAAGACAATGTTGAAGAAATCTTTCAGAAAGTAGAAGAGATATGAAAGAGAAGATAAGAGATATAGATTAACTCATAAGTTTCAACATAAGACTTATGGGACTTTATTCCAGAGAATGGACAATATGCAAGAAGAAATTATCAAATAAACAATGTACAGCTCAATGAGTTACCCCAAATCAAGATTTTTCAATGAGTAATATGGGATGATTTTCCAAACTAAAGAATGAACTCTTCATGTTGAAAGTCTTCCCTCGATGCTTAATAATATGATTTTTAAAACAGCTATACTGAGACATGTAAGATCAATAATTTATTTTAGTTAAACCTAAAAAATTATTTTAAAAAATTAGGTTAAGTATTTTGAAAGCAGAGAGAACAATTGTGACAAAATTATGTAAACTTTTTTTTAAAATGAAGTTCTTAATCAACTCACTATATCTCTGAAAGCAGAGATACCATTTTCATTCATTCATTCATTCATTCATTCAGATTGCCTACTGTGTGAACCACCAAGTGCTAAATGCCAAGGATAGTATAAAGATAGAATACACTTATGTGTTAAATGGCTTTCATTCAGGAAAAGGTAAAAGATATATAAGCAAATAATCACAATACTAAATAAAAAAAATTGCAAATGCTGTAAGAAAAGAAAAGCCAAAGTATTCTGGATATTCACAGATTTCTTGAGATGGAGGGAGAGTATTTGAGAAGTATTCCAGAAGAAGGTTAAATATTGAACTAATCTTGTCAAGATTCAGTGGAGGATAGAGGGTACATTAAACAGGAGGGATCTGTGTGAGCAAAGTCTCAGAAATGAGAAAACATGGGATGCATGTGGAAAACCAACAGCATATACATATGTAGTCTTTCTTCCTGTAAAGGTGTTTAATTATCATGAAAAAAACCTCAAGTAAATTTAGATTGTAGGACATGATAGAACAGATCTGAACTCTTTTTCAAAATATGTCCATGGTGTGAAATACAGAAAAAAAAAAAAACAGGAGGAAGAAATTCTAAATTAAAACAGACATGATTTCTAAATATGTTTTGTGATATTTGATTGAATCATGTGTCCAAGGTATTAATTATAAAAATGATTATGAAAATTGGGAAGATTTGATTATGAGCTGGTATTAGATAATTCTGTTTATCAATGATAAATTTCTTTTTTTAAAGATTTCTTTCTTTACTCAAAAGAGCCACAGAGAGAAAGACAGACAGAGAGGGAGAGAGAAGTCTTTCATCCACTGGCTCATTCCCCAAATGACCATATCGACCAGGGCTGGGTAAGGCTGAATCTAGGAGCCAGGAATCTCATCCAGGTCTCCCACGTGTGTACAGGGGCCTAAGCATTTGGGCCATCTTTTCGATGGTTTCTGAGACACATTAGCAGGGAGCTGGATCAGAAGTAGAGCAGCGGGACTTGAACCAGCACCCATATGGGATGTTGGTGCTGCAGATGGCAGCTTAACCCACTGTGCCACAGCACCAATCCCCTATAAAATTTCTTAAATGCATTGGTGATATTGCTGTATAGGAGGATATCCTTGGTGTAAGAAGATACATGCTCACAAGCCGCATCAGAGTACCTAGGTTCAATTTTCCCCTCCTCTCCCTATTCCAGCTTCCTACTAATGCCTCATCCCTGACACCCATGTGGGAAACCTGATGGGTGCTTGACTCCCAGCTTCAGCCTGGCCCAGACTCAGCCACTGAGGGATTTGTGGAATAAACCAGCAGGAGGGAGTTCTTTCTCTGTTTCTGTCCCCCTGTTTCTGTCTCTGTCTCTTTGTCTCCTTGTTTCCCACATAAATAATATTAAAAAGAGTCTTACTCCTAATACTGTACAAGAGGAAAACAAATAAAAAATTAAGTCCTTAGGAGTGATATCAGCAAGCTAATTTCAGTTGAATCAGCAAATGAAGCATGCCGGGGAACAACTGGTGAAAATATCGCCAATAGATAACAAGTGGTAGATCTAGATGAGG